AAAAAAATTAAAATGTAGGTAACCTGAAATGACTTATAGGGTCTCAAATTGTTTAATTGAACAAATCGACGTAATCCTCTCTAAAAAATCCTTACTCTAAATCCTTTCAAATCCTATTTATTTTGATTTACACTATTTCATGTTTTTAATCTAAAACTGTTGAAATTATACCCACTAAATTTTTTATTTTCGTTGGAGCTTAACTCTATACCGAATTTTAAAATATATACCTTAACTACTGAGATAACTAAATAGCTTAATTTAATCATATTTTGTATTTATTTTTTAATGTTTTGCTACGTGTTGCCGTATATCGATCTGTCGTCGTGTGGTGATGTTTGCCCATTCATTATACCGTGGCCATTATTCGATACATGTGTGTTATCGATATACCTATTAGGTACCTGTTATGCGTGCAGCTGTCGGCTGTCTGTCCATGTGCAGTTTTGGATTCAAATCGGGGCGCCTGCGCGACGCCATTACACGGAGCGTATCGCGCCCTCTTTCGCGCACGTAATATTTGCTTTTCGTTTAATTCGCGCGCAACACTCTCATTATTTTTCTTCTTTCATATATATCATATATCATAAAAATACACACACACACAAATAGCTGCAAATATATTACAATTGAAAAACATGAGAGAAAGAGGCATTAAAAATGGCGTACAATAACAACAAGATCAACATCAACAACAACAATAAGAGATAAAAAACAGTCCCAGCGAGCGTAACAGACGGGGGAACGAGAGCGAGAAGCAACACGCGCGCTTGGCAGCTTATATATAACGGTTGTAACGTAACCAACCCACACTGCGTGTATGAGAGAGGAAAAAATAAAGACAGGGAGGAGAGAGAATGACCGGGTGACGACAAACACAGCTGGATACGTAAGCGAATTCGTGCTACGTGCGCGTCGCGGCTGCCATAACGAACCGAGGCCGTCGTCGTTGCCAAAACAAAATGATTTCAGCTTTTTCAACCCATGCCGCGACATACGCGGCGGCCATGAAGGCCAATTAAATGCAATGTTTCAAAATTCATTTCTATTTCGGCAATGTAGCGACGCGCGCACCGGCATCTCCGCGACTTTTGTTGTGCTCTAGACGCACAGAGCGGCACAGAACACACACACACACACACACGCATTCATACGTATGCATATAAATATATATA